GTGCTGCACAATCACTATCCTCGTTCAGGTACACACAACAATCTGAAGCTTGATGCCTGGCAGCCTACAAACTTGCTTCGGCTGACCACTGCCAGTTAGCTGGAAGCCTGTAGGCCGCCAACACCCAAAGGTCTTTGACCTGGGCTGTTCAGCTATAGGGTCTGAGTCAGTTTCACACCATGTGAGTGCACCGCGCTGAGCCCGCTCGCACAGCGTTCAATTGAAAATACTAGTGGTAGCACACCAGAAGCAATAATAGTGGCAGTGGCAGCAGCAGCAGCAGTAGTAGTGGTAGTGGCAGTATAGTAGCAGCAGCAGCAGTAGCAGTAGCAGTAGCAGTAGCTGTAGCTGTAGCAGTAGCAGTAGTAGTAGTAGTAGCAGTAGTAGTCGTAGTGGTAGTGCTAGTCTGTGTCGTAGTGTCGTAGTAATGGTATTCGTATAGTAGTCGCTGCGCGCGCTGTCGAGGTGCTCACGCGCGCTGTCACAGGTGCTCGCGCGCGCTGTCGCAAGTGCTCGCGCGCGCTGTCGTAGGGGTCGCGCGCGCTGTCGCAGGGGCTCGCGCGCGCTGTCGCAGGGGCTCGCGCGCGCTGTGGCAGGGGCTCGCGCGCGCTGTGGTGCGCGCTGTGGCAGGGGCTCGCACGCGCTGTGGCAGGGGCACGCGCGCGCTGTGGCAGGGGCTCGCGCGCGCTCTGGCAGGGGCTCGCGCGCGCTGTGGCAGGGGCTCGCGCGCGCTGTGGCAGGGGCTCGCGAGGTGCTCGCGCGCGCTGTCGCAGGGGCTCGCGCGCGCTGTCGCAGGGGCTCGCACGCACTGTGGCATGTACTCGCGCGCGCTGTGGCATGTACTCGCGCGCGCTGTCGCAGGTGCTCGCGCGCGCTGCTGCACGTGTTACGTGGAAGCGCGGGCAACTGCTGAGCACAAGCACGCTTTGCAGGCATGTGTGCATGCACGGGTACATTGGACAGTGGACAGTGTCGTGTACTACGACTACGACTACGACTACTACTACTACTACTACTACTACTACTACTACTAATACTACTATTACTACTACTACTACTACTACTACTACTACTACTACTACTACTACTACTACTACTACTACTACTACTACTGCTACTACTACTACTACTACTACTACTACTACTACTACTACTACTACTACTACTACTACTACTACTACTACTACTACTACTACTACTACTACCTGTGCAGAAATGCACCCAGAAGTTCAGAAGCTTTACCTCATGCATCAGCGCAAACCCTGTGCACAGGTGGTCGGAAGACTTACCTTTACCATTGATGTCTTCACATCCGAGGCGAAACCGCCCCAGAAGTTCAGAAGCTTTACCTGATGCATCAGCGCAAACCACCACCACCACCACCACTACGACTACGACTACTACTACTACTACTACTACTACTTCTACTACTACGACTACTTCTACAACAACAACTACTACTACCACTACTACTACTACTACTACTACTACCACTACTACTACTACTACTACTACTACTACTACTACTACTACTACTACTACTACTACTACTACTACTACTACTACACACAGTGTTGTATATTCCCTCTGACAACAATCTATTCATGACATCGTTGATGAGCCTGCCCTGCCCCACCCCAGTCCAACTTGCAATCTGTTCCTGCTGTTGCTGCTCCTGCTTTTGCTGCTGTTGCTGTCCACTGTTCACTGTTCATGGTCTTCAATGCTCACTTTAAATCCTGCTTTCAAAGCCCCTTTAAGGCTCCCAAAACGAAAAGGTCAGAAGGTTAGATACCAACGAACAGAAGGTCAGTTGCTTTGAACAGGGATTCTAGCACCACCTTTCTTCATGGATAGCGTGCCATTGCCATTCCAGACGGGCAGTAGCGTGTCGGGGTCCTCGGTTAGCGGTTCCGCCCGGAACTCGGCAGACTCGAGCTCGGCTAGCTTCTTCTGGATGTACTCCTTAGCGGGGGTCTGCTTGTCTTCCAGGTCCCCGAATTTAGCGGTGAATGCCTGGCGCATCGCCATATAATCGGTAGCTGGGATGGGCTTTGCCCATCCCTGACCTCACTGGTAGCTTCCGCCTCTGCCTGCCGCTCGGAGCGGGAGTTAGCGGTCCTCCATGCGAGGGTGACCCCCGCCGCCTGAGCACGGCTAGCGAGCGAGGTGGTGGGCTCGATAGCAAAGCTGTCCCGTAGCATCTTCTTGAGGTCCGCTTCGTCCGTAGCTGAGGCTGCGAATTTAGCGACGGTATCGATACCGTTGGAAAAGAGCTCGGATTGAATAACATCCGAGACTTTATGCTGCACTAGCAGGAACCTGAGTTCACTGCTGCCGAGGGCTAGCTTCTTTGCTAGAGCTTCTGCCTCTGCCATGGTAGCAGGCACGGTCGAGGCCAACAACGTTGGAAGGATTAGCGTAGAAAATGAAAACTGCCTGAGCTAGCACTAAAGGGAAAAGCTCCTAGCGTGAGAGTGTGTGAGGTGCCAGTCGATAGCTTCGCTGAAAAGGCACTGCAGTCGCAGACAGCCCTAGCAGCCCCACCGACCCCGGCCCCACCCCGCAGTCCCCAGACTCTCTCTCGCTCTAGCTCTTCCCTTCCGTCTGGCTGCCGACATGTGTGTAGCACGGGCTGCTGCGTGCATTCAGACACTAGCGGCGCCCCTTCCATTTTGCAACGGCTAGCGGTCGTAACAAACATTTCGCTCAGGAGTGTGTTGCCCTATAATCCTGTAGTTGAGCTGTTTGCCACATGATTTTGTATAGCTTGGAACAAATGTTCCACTGTGGTGTTTAGGCTCAAGGGACGCACCCAAGACAGCCGTGCGCCCGAGTAAAAGTGAAGTGCGAATATCTGTGTGAAGTGAAAGGGTCCGGAATGTACCCGTAAAGCGTTTTATGGTAGCGGAGCTGAAGGCCAGGACCTTCGGCTAAAGAAGAGCCCAATACAAGGAGAAACGAGCCTTGGGCCCCAGTGTCACGGAAAGTGAAGAACAGAAAAGTTGAATGGCCACGCCAAGTCCGGCTGGAGACGCGGATTTGCCTGTATCCCCTGGACACGGTGGCCAAGGAGGAGACACACCAAGTGATACGCCAATGGCGATGCCTGCACCAGAAGGAGTTGCAGTAGAATCCCTTCAGGCCCTGATAGGGAACCTGTCGGCAGCAGCGCAAGCTTTGGCTAGTGCTGCAGGTACAGGAAGTACAAGCAAAGCTGGTGAAGAGTCCTGACGTGTTTGCTCCAAAGAACTTGGAGGAGGAAGTTTCACAGTGGCCCGACTGGAGCTTTAGTTTCAAAGTGTTTGTGGCTTCATTGATCCCACCTATGCTGAAGAGTTGAAGAAAGTGGAGCTGGCACCACCAAAGCCAGCAGAGTACACCACTGGTGAAAGAGAAAGAAGTACAAAGCTTTATGCGATATTGGCCTCGTATCTTCGGAACAGGCCATTGAAGTTGTTGAAGTCGGAAGGAAGTCCAGATGGATATTCTGTCTGGAGGAGATTGTTTGAAGAGTTGGAGCCGTCAAGCCGAACACGAGGGCTGGCAATGGCTCAAGCTCTAGTGAGCTTTCCCCCGATGACGAAGGGGACTTCTATTCTAGACTATCTGCTTACCTACGAAAAATTGGTAGGAGAGTACGAGAAACTGTCAGAAGGAAAACCCTACGATGAGAACCTGAAAATCGGAACAGTGCTGAAAGGGTTACCCAATGAGTTGAGGAAGCACATCCTGATAGGATTGACCCCGACAACGAAGTATGCAGATATCAGGAAGAAGTTGCTTGAGTATGAAAGAAGTACCCAATCGTGGAATGCAGAGAACATCCTACAGTCATTCAACATGGAAAGTGCAACAAAGAGTACTCCCTATAATGGGCCACAGCCAATGGAGATTGATCGAGTGAAAGGAAAAGGAAAAGACAAAGGAAAAGGAAAGGGTTATGACAATAAAGGAAAAGGAGGAAAAGGGTACAACAACAAAGGAAAAGGAAAAGGAAAAGGATACGACAACAAAGGAAAAGGAAAAGGAAAAGGACACGACAACAAAGGAAAAGGAAAAGGTGGTTATAGAAATGCGCGTGCAGTGGACGCTGGTGGTTCAGTAAAGGGAAGTTCACAGGAGAATGCCACATATGCGGAAAGATAGGACACAAGGCGTCTGATTGTTGGCAGAACCAGGGAAAAGGAAAAGGAGGTAAAGGCAAAGTGAGACAGGTAGAAGAGGAAGGAGCACATCAAGGAAATTATGAGAAGAGTTCCTCTAGCAATGCCCCTCCTGCGAAAAATGAGACTGGTCAAGTGAGGCAGATCACAGCTGAAGCAGCGCGACCAGCTAGAAGAGTAGAGATGACACAAGCGTGGAACGATGAAGATGAAGAGCTCAACTTTGTGAGATTGTGTCAAGAGTTTGAAGGTTTGGTACAAGGAGAGTTGAGAAGAGTTGAGGAGTTTGATATCTCTTCGAGCGATGAAGTTGAAGAGAGCGAGGAGGAACCAACTGATGGTTTGATGGAATGGTACCAAGGATGGTGGTTCTTGGAAACCGAGGTTGAAAGAAGTGTAAGAATGATTTCTGAAGGAAATGAAGTGAGGAGAACAGCAAGAGAAGTGGATGCATGTGAGGTAGTGCTCGACAGTGGAGCTGACTGCCATGTGTTGCCTATGGATTGGGCAGAAGAAGTAGGAGAAACTTCGAACTTTGAGTATCATCTGAAAGATGCGCAAGGGAAAGTGATCCCAACGTTGCCTGTGAGGCAGAATGTGACGTTTGTTTTCACAAAGGAGTCAGGGAAGAAGTTGAAGATTACTGACAGTGCTGTTTGCGGCAATGTCACCCAACCTTTGTTCGCGGTAGGAAAGATGTGGAAGCTAGGTTGGGGTACGGTGAATGAGGATGGAAGATTGTGGTTGAAGAAAGGAAGTATTCGGATACCGATATACTTCAAAAGAAATTCCTCAATGGCGAGGATGTGTATACGGAGACTTGAAGGAGAAGAGATGACCGTGCAGCCAGTAAGGCTGGAGCGAGAACTGAAAAATGAATTGAAGAGCAAAGAAGATGAGGATGGTTGGTTTGTGCTTAAGGATGGCACGCCTGCAAGGTTTGATTGGTTCATGGGGAAGACGTTTGACCCAACGGGTCAGTTCCCCAACAGACTCTATGAGGGAGAAGGAGATGAAGGAGATTATTTCCCTTATAGGACAACCTTGCTGGGAAAGATGAAAAGAAGTGGAGGAAGAGTGTTGAACGAAGTGGATTGGAAGAGTATGGATTTCTTTGAGTGTATGGAGATCTGGAAGGATCGCGAAAGAGTGCAACTTGGAGCGAGCCCTCAAGCAAGGTTCGAGGTGATGGTCACCTTGTTGGAAAAGGGATTGAAGGAACCGAGTGACTATGGGTTACTCACGAATTTGGAAGAGCTTGAAAGAGAACTGGCACAAGAAGGAGTGCCAATGGAGGTCACAGGAACCTCCACAAGTTCTAAAGATACGAGAGAAGGTGAGAAAGAGGAACCCAGGAGAGGAGTTCCAGTGATAGGTGAAGATGAAGAAGAAGTGATGGTTATTGGACCGATGAAGTTGACACGCCAGAGCGAGTTGAAAGAGATGAAGGCGGCGTGCAAGTATCTGCATATCTCTAAGAATGGATCGAAAGAGATTTTGTGGAAGAGATTGAAGAAAGAGGTTGCGTTGAGCAAAGTGAAAGCGCAAGCCCAAATCTCAGAAGACATTAGGAAGGAGTTTGAAAGAGAACCAATTCCAGAGGCTCTGCCTGCTTTGCCGAGCCCGGAGGAGATTGAAGCGCATGAGTTGACGCATTTGCCGAGAGCGCCCTGGTGTGAAGCATGCCAGGCAGCAAAGAGCAGAGAAGACAACTTTGAAGAGACGAAGGAAAAAGCGCAACGGCCCGTGTTTAGCTTGGACTTTATGTTCACAGGAACGCAAGGAGATGAGAAGGAAAGAGATCCGCTTGCTATTCAGCTTGCAGGTGTTGACATTGACACGAAGTTCCTGATAGCTATCGCGGTGCCAACGAAAGGAGGAGATGCGGTGATAAATCACGCAGTGAGTGAAGTAGTGAGAGTGTTAGCCCTTTTGGGTTACGCTGAAGTAGTAATGAGAACGGACACCGAGCCAGTGATGATTGCCATCAGGAGAGGAGCTCAAGTGGCAAGAACGAAACAAGGTTTGAAGACGGAGTTGCAAGATGCCACGCCTGATGAGCATCAAGGGTTGCCTGTTGAAAGGTATATCCAAACAGTAAGAAACCTCGCAAAGACGTTGTTGGCAACGGTGGAACAAAGAAGTGGAACGGCCATCGGATCTGATGTCCCGCTTTATAGCTGGGCATTCAGACACGCAGCATGGCTGCACAACAGGTTTCATGTTGGAAGAGATGGCAGGACTGCGTTCGAGGCAACAGTGGACCGAACGTACAAAGGAAAGTTGGCCCCGTTTGGGTCAGCAGTGTTTGGAAAAGCGGTGCCAAAGACCAAGGAGAAAGGAGAACCTTGGGAGAAAGGAGTCTTTCTGGGAAAGGACTACGCGAGTAATTTGAACCTTATTGGCACAGGTCGAGGAGTGATCAAGGCGAGGACAATGAGAAGATGTGCTGAAGCATATCAGCCGGAGCTTCTGCAACTTTCGGTTGGAGCTCCATGGGATCATCAGCTGAAAGCTTTGAGATTTAAGAAGAAGAGAATTGTGCCTATTGATGATGGGCCAGGACTTCCAAGACTGGCGGTGGAAACAGACAAAAGAGTTGAAGAAGAAAAGAGAAGCGAACCTTCGCCACCGAGCGACCGTCAAGGAAGTTCAAGTTCTTCGAGTAAGAGTTCGTCGCTGTCTGGAGCAACGCCGGAAGCAATGGATGATGAAAGCGATGACGATGATGACGACCCAGGAGAAGTGAGAACAAAGAGAAAAGCTGAAGAGGAACTGGTGCCGGATGAGATGACACTAGAAGAATTCCAGAGAGAGATTGAGAAGAGAAGTGCAGAAGAAGAAGGAGAAGGGTCACCAAAGAAAGAACCAAGAGTAGACGAAGGAACTGGAGAAGTAGAAGAGAGAGCTGAGAAAGCGCCCAGGCTTGGAGGAGAAGCAAGAGGAAGCGCGGCGCGAGTGGAGTATCACATAAGGAGATTTACCAAGAGCGAAGATCCAGAAGAGCACGGAGATGAGTATGTTGATCTCGACGAGACCCAACTGTTTCTTGAAGAGAGTCGAGAGTTCCAAAGCAAATGGAACGAGAAAGTGTGTGAGACAGAAGAGGACCTAACGGTTACTTGGTCTCACGAGTATGATGATGGGCCACCGAAGTTGGAAGATGAAGATTTGGCAAAGGTGGACCTGAAAGCGGAGAAGACTGAGATCGAGAGATTATTGGAGATGAAAGTGCTCAAAGAAGTGGAGCTGGATGAGAATGGAGAACTGAAGAAAGGACCGAATGGAGAAGAACCAAAGAGACTCAGTACAAAGTACGTGCTGGATTGGAGGCATAGGGACCTCCAATGGAAGAGGCGCGCACGCCTAGTGGCGCGGGAGTACAAGTGGCTGACGGACTACGATCTTTCAGCGCTATACTCACCAACGAGCATTGGTTCGAGCATCAAGCTGTTGTCAGCTTTGTGTGCGAGTTCAAGAGACTACGAGATGATCTCGATAGACATTTCGGACGCGTACCTTCAGGTGCCGCAGAAGGAGTATACAGTGGTGAGTTTAGGAGGAAAGTGGTACCAGCTGTAGTATACACCCTGCCGGGACAACGAACAGGAAGCAGTGATTGGTTTGAGCACCTACGAGAAATCCTGGAGAAAGAGAAGATGGTTTCCGATGTGGGGTTACCAAGTTTCTTCTACAAGTTTTCAGAGACACCAGGAGAAGGTGGAACGCTCATGAGTACACATGTGGATGATTTGGAAGTGTTTGGAAGGCCAAAAGAGAACCAAGCAGTGGTTGATCTGCTGCTGAAGCACAAATTGAAGATAAAGCTGGAAGGACCAGTGAAAGTTGGAGAAGGAAAGTGTACTTTCTTGAAGAGGACGTTCTTAGGAACGAAAGAAGGAATTGAGATCAGGATGGACGGCAAGTATCTTGAAAAGCTGGAAGAGATTTTAGGTTTGGGTAATGCCCTGCCAAAGAAGTTGCCGTTTCCAATGGACTATGGGAGATCGCTGAAGGACGATACGCCCTTGGATGCAGATGAACACCATCTGTATAGATCCTGTGTAGGAATCCTACTGTATATGACGCCAGAGAGACCTGATTTGGGATTCGCTACGAAGTGGTTGTCAGGAAAGTTGGCAGCGCCAACGCGAGGAGACTTAGCAGTGCTTAGGCACGTGGCAAAGTACGTGAAAGCGACAGCCCACTATGTGATAGAACATAAAGAGGCATATCCTGGAAAGAGTTTTCTGGATCCAAGAGATAAGAGAACTGAGAATGCCTACAAAGATGTTTTCACGGCAAAGAGTTTGATCGAGGTAGTTACTGACGCCGACTGGGCGACCGATCGTGAGAACAGGCAGTCAACGAGCTGCGTCTTGATTTTCGTGAACAGTAACATCGTTTACTTTCACGCAAGAAAGCAAAAAGCAACGGCTCTTAGCAGCTGCGAAAGCGAACTGGTGGCAGCTGTTGGAGGTTTGAGTGAAGGAGTTTTTCTGCAGAACCTGTTACACAGAGTTCTAGGGATTAAGCCGGAGATGGTGATTCGGATGGATTCTAGCAGCGCTAGGTCTATTCTGCTGAAGAAAGGCTTAGGAAGAACGAGGCACATTGATGCCGGACTGCTTTGGGTTCAAAGGCTTACCTCGGGAGGTCTTCAAGTGAAAGCAATAGCTGGAAAGGAGAACCCTGCAGATGTAGGGACCAAAGCTTTGTCACGGAATGCTGTTGTGAAGTGTTTGGAAAGAATTGGAGTGAGAACTGGAGAAGAGAGTGAAGAGGTCAGGATAGCAAGTGACTTTAAGATCCCTACGAAGTATCTGAGAAGGCTGGTGTTGATGATGATGGTTCAGCAAGGTGATGGACTAAGAGAGCAAAGCAGTAGAAGCAGTGATGGTGGATGCTTCGGATTGATGATGATGGTGATTATGATGACAATGGTTGTTGTCATGCTTTGCAACGGCAGCCTGTGGAAGAGTTTGGTTGAAAGTGCTGAGTGCATGTTTTATTCCGCCGCTGCCGTTTTCGACTCAAGGAAGGAAGTAAGACAAGTAAGAAGAGAAGAAGTGAGGAAAAAGGAAGTGAAGAGAAAAGGAGAAAAAGGAAAAAGAAAATTGAAAGAGAAAAAGGAAAGAATGAGTGAGAAGATGGGAATCGATGACGAGGCCCTCAAGACAATGATAAGGGACGAATGCAAAAGTATAGAGTCTATCACCCTGTGTGAAAGACAGCTAAAGACGGTACGCGAGGAGAGGTTAACCGTCGATGCCCTATGGCCCGAAATACAGCGCCTCAACCAGTATGCGCCAAAGTCGGAAGCCCCGCCAGAAGTCAAGACGGCGGAGGTTAAAGTGCCGGAAGGGGCACAGAGCAGCCAAGGAGCTGCAGAAAGCAGCCAGGCGAGTGTTATGGAGGAAAGAGTGAGTGAACTGAAGCAAAAGGCTGCAGAGGCTGCTGAGAGGCGGAAGGGCCAGAAAGAAAAGGCAAACGAAGCCTTGGAGAAAAGGGAGAAAGAAGAGAAAGAGGCGAAGAAGGATGAAGAAAAAGAGAAGAAGGAAGAGGAAGAAGAAGAGGAGCAGGAAGCTTCTGAAAGTGAGGAGAAAGCCTCAGACAAAGAAGAGGAAGAGAGTTCGGAGAAGGAGAAAGAGAAAGAGAAAAAGAAAGAGAAAGCAGAAAAGAGAAAGAAAGAAGAAGAGGAGTCGACCGACAACGAATACAATGCGATTATGAAGAAGTTCGCAAGAAAGTCGGTATCGGATGAGGAAAAGAAAGTGCAGGACCTGTTGTTGTCGCAGATGCGGGCCCTGCAGGAGAAGCTGGACGACAGGCGAAAGAAATTCGCCATTTATGGGGATATGTATACTTACAACCAGAAACAGAAAAAGCTTAAGGAGGACGAAAGAGACAGATTGATGGCAAAGGAGATAGAAGTGAAAGAGGAGCTTAAGCGGGTAGCGGACGAAGCGTTCGTTGCCAAAGAAGCCATAGAGAAACAGCTGGACAAGCTGAGAGCCGAAGAAGAGGAACAAGAAATGGAGGCTACATTGATAATGGACGAAGAGTCCGCCCTGCAGAAAGAGATGGACCGATTGAGACCGAAACTCCATGCTGCACTGGAAGAGTTGAAAGCGAAAAGGAAGGAACTACAGGTTCCAGAGGGTGGACTGCTTCAAGGCGAAGCTGAGCAAAAGCTGGAAGAGATGGAGCGCAAGAGGATCAAAGAGATTAAAGAGCTCCAAGAGGCAAAAGAAAGAGAGATTAAAGAAGAGATCGACAAGAAGGAAAGAGAAATCACAGAGCTGAAGGAGGCAAAGGACAAAGAGATTGGAGAACTTAATGAAGAAGTTCGAAAACTGAAGAAGCGCAAAAGCAGTGCTGGGTCAACGCAAGGTCAGCAAAGCGAAGATGCAGAGAAGATGAAGGAGGAACGCCGGAAAATGCGTGAAACTATAAAGGAACTGGGCAAGAACAACCAGGCCCTCGAAGATGAGATCAAAGCGCTTAAAGAGGAAGCAAAAAATCAATGAGGATCCGGATGCGCAAAGCCAGGCAATGGTATGCGCATTATGTTCCCGCTTCGGACATGGGTCCGACACCTGCTGGGACGCGGACTATAACTATAGTTCGACGGGCCAATATGCACCAAAGGCCCAACGCGACGGCCTGAGCAAGGAAGAGTTCCAGACATGGTACAAGAAAAATGAGTTGATAATTCGAAGGGCATACGCCAACAGGTTGGAGAACAACAAGAAGAAATACCGCACTGACAATGCGGATAAAGGAAAAGGCAAAAAGGCCCAGCAGAAGAGCAGCTGAAGAGAAAAGAAGAAAGAGAGAGAGACCAAACCGGAGGTCTATAAAGAAAAAGGGAATCTGAAGGCTGAAAAGCCGAGAGGGGGAACTTCGTTCCCAAACGAGGAAAGAGTTTTCTGAAAGCTGCACAGCAGCTGCAAAAGAGAAGCCGAAGAGTTTCTCTAAGAGGAGTTTCAAAGAGTTTTGTGGCCACGGCCACCACGAGTTCTTTTGTGGCTGGAAAAAAGCCAAAGAAGTGAACGAGTTAAAAGAGCTTAGTGAGAGCGGCCGGTAAGTGTAGCTCTTGTCTCACTCGTTTCACAAAACGACAAAAAGCAGTGCACCACGACGTGTTTAAAAGGAGGAGTGAGCGACTGTTTAGGGTTCGTAGCACCTCTAGAAAGGGAAAAGGCAAAAGAGGATGCACGAAGAGGGGGTAACAAACATTTCGCTCAGGAGTGTGTTGCCCTATAATCCTGTAGTTGAGCTGTTTGCCACATGATTTTGTATAGCTTGGAACAAATGTTCCACTGTGGTGTTTAGGCTCAAGGGACGCACCCAAGACAGCCGTGCGCCCGAGTAAAAGTGAAGTGCGAATATCTGTGTGAAGTGAAGGGGTCCGGAACGTACCCGTAAAGCGTTTTAGGTCGGCAGCAGAGGGCGCTGCAAAGGTAGCCGCTTGCATCTGTACACTAGTAAGGCCGAGGCCTTAGCGGGGCCCGGGGCCCTCTGTTTAGCGGCCGCCCCAGTCCTCGCCACGGGACCAGGCTTTGCAGCCGTCACAGCAATGCGTATAGCGTGGTCATCTATTTTGAACCACATACGCCTATTGCAGGCCTGTAGCTGGCACACTTCGCAAGTAGTGGCACATCTGAGTATAGCGGCGTTAGGGTCCCAGTGGCCGAGGGAGTAGCGGCAGCGTCCTGGTCGGAACTGCGTATCGCAGCTCTGGGCAAACTGTTAGCGTGGGCTCCGGCCGGAGGCCTGGCTCGGCCCTTTAGCGCGACACTCACTGGTGTCCCCTTAGCTTGGCGGACGTTGTCCGGCATACCGCCCGCCTCGATAGCGCGCTGCTGCTGCAGCGAGCGAGGCAGCAGCTCGAGGTAGCGGTCGGGGTCGTCGAATAGCATCCCCCACGTGTAGTCGAAGATGTTGATATTAGCGGGCGGTGGGCCCTTG